AAAAAAAAAAAAAAAAAAAGAATGTTATCTATAACATTGAGAATGGATAACATGGGAATTCCAGAACACTTAAGTGTGCTCATGAGGAAACTGTACATAGACCAAGAGGCTGTCATTTGAACAGAACAAGAGAATGCTTCATGGTTTAAAATCAGGAAGGGAGTATGTCAGGGTTGTATCCTTTCACCATAGTTATTCAATCTGTATACTGAGCAAATAATCCAAGAAGCTGGACTATATGAAGAAGAAGGCGGCATCAGGATTGGAGGAAGATTCATTAGCAACCTGCGATATGCAGATTACACAACTTTGCTTGCTGAAAGTAAGATGGTTTGAAGCATTTACTGATGAAGACTAAAGACTATAGCATGGAGTATGGATTATACCTCAACATAAAAACAAAAATCCTCACAACTAGACCAATAAGCAGCATTACAATAAATGGAGAGAAGTTCAAGTTTTCAAAGATTTCATATTTCTTGGTTCCACAATGAACACCCATGGAAGCAGCAGTCAAGAAATCAGATGACATAATGCACTGGGCAAATATGCTGCAAAAGACCTCTTTAAGGTGCTGAAGAGCTAAGATATCTCTTTGAAGACTAAGGTGTGCCTAATCCAAGCCATGGTATTTTTAATCACCTCATAGGTGTGTGAAAGCTGGACAGTGAATAAGGAAGACCCAAGAAGAGTTGATGCTTCTGAGTTTTGGTGTTGGTGAGGAATACTGAAAATACCATGGACTGGCAGAAGAACTAACAAATCTGACCTTGAGGAAGTGCAGCTGAAATGTTCCTTGGAAGCTAGAATGGCCAGACTTCATCTCACCTACTTTGATCATTTTGTCATTAGGAACCATTCCCTGGAGGATATCATCATGCTTGGTAAAGTGGAGGGTTAGTGAAGGAGGGGAAGGCCCTCAATGAGATGGAATGACACAGTGGTTGCAATGACAGGGTTATGCATGGCATAGATTATGAGGCTGGCATAGATTATGAGGCTGGCATAGATTATGAGGCTGGCATAGGACTGGACAGTGTTTCATTCTGTTGTACATAGGTTCACTATGAGTCAGAGCCGACTCGACAACACCTAACAACAACCTATAATAAAATATTATTCAGCCACACTTGATCTTAGCCAAAGAAGAGCAACTCAAAAGATTAGACAGGAACCTCAGACAGAAGGAAGTGAGTATATATTAATTAACACTTCAGAAAAGGAGGATGACATTGATGGTACATAGGAAGAATGTAATCAATGTCACTAAATTATACATGGAGAAACTGTTGAACTGGTGAATGTTTTGTTGTGTATATTTTCAACAACATAAAATGAT